CAATTATAGTCCTAATAGGAGTCTAAGACCAAACTAAAAATAGGACTTTTAGCACTATAAATACGCATATAAATAGTGAGAAAAAACTCAAGAAATCATAGAGAGAAATACACAGATCGGAGCACTTGTAACGTCTCTAAAAGATATAAAAGGGTAAAGTTCTTACATTTCTCGTTTTGATACTTTCAGGTGGGTTGTTTGGTTTATTTTCTTTGCTTTTGATTCGAAAAACCCAAAAAAGATAAGGTTTAAGTCGATGAATGGGGAAGGGTTTTGAGAATTTTCTTCTCAGATCTAGTCCTCCCCGAGGCAATTTTGTAAAAACCAAGTTGGTTTTCGTAGAGTGGAGAAAATAGCTTTCGAAAAATAAAAAAAATCACCGCCGATGAACAGCGGCCGACGAGTTACGGTTGCCGAAATCTGGGTTCCTATGAACCCAGACGACCGTGTTCTTCATCAGATGAAGAACACTATGAACATTTGAGCGAAAATGTGAGGGGGTTTCGATCGGTTTGAATGCAAAAGAAAAAATAAAATGTGTTTTTGAGTTTTGGGTTATATACTGGACCCATCGACCCGACCGGATTCCCTAGGGGATCCGCGTGTTTTTCCAAAAAAGGTAAAATTACAGGTTCAGTCCCTCGTATTTTTTAAAAGTTTATTTTTCCCCTTCAAATCGACCTTTTACCCTGATTTGCTTTTAATTTTACCACCCACTTTATTTTTCTTTCAATTTAGTCTTTTTATTTAATTTACGTTTTAATTTAATTTAATTTTTTCTCTTTATTTCTTTTCCTTCTTTTTTAATTGCTTTTAATTGTTTTTGGTTGTTTGGTTTATTTTCTTTGTTTTGATTCGAAAAACCCAAAAAAGAGAAGGTTTAAGCCGATGAATGGGGCAGGGTTTTGAGAACTTTCTTTTCAGATCTAGCCCTCCCCGAGGCGATTTTGTAAAATCCAAGTTGGTTTTCGTAGAGCGGAGAAAATAACTTTCGAGAAAAAAAAATCACCGCCGATGAACAGCGGCCAACGAGTCGCGGTGGCCGAAATCTGGGTTCCTATGAACCCAGACGACCGTGTTCTTCATCAGATGAAGAACACTATGAACATTTGAGCGAAAATGTGAGGGGGTTTCGATTGGTTTGAATGCAAAAGAAAAAATAAAATGTGTTTTTGAGTTTTTGGTTATATATTGGACCCATCGACCCGATCGGATCCCCTTGGGGATCCGCGTGTTTTGCCCAAAAAAAGGTAAAATTGCAGGTTCAGTCTCTCGTGTTTTTTAAAAGTTTATTTTACCCCTTAAAATCGACTTTTTACCCTGATTTGCTTTTAATTTTACCACCCACTTTATTTTTCTTTCAATTTAATCCTTTTATTTAATTTACGTTTTAATTTAATTTAATTTTTTCTCTTTATTTCTTTTCTTTCCTTTTTAATTGTTTTTAATTCTACTTTGGTTTTTTATTTTTATTTCTATTTCTTTTTTTAAATTGTTTTTAGTTAATATTTTTCATTTTATTTATTTTTCATTTTATTTAGCTAATCTTTTTAGGATTTTTTATTATTTCATTTATTTTTTATGTAGTCATTTTTTACTCATTTTTTTAAATACAGTTTTTTTGTTCTTTTTTATTTCTTGTACTTTTACTCTTTTTTTATTTTTTTATTTTGTTTTTTTTCTTTTAAATTTAGTTTTAAGTAATTTTTTATATTTAATCTTACAATTAGTATTTTTTTAATAGACCTTCTTTCCTTACGTTGTTTTTTATTTGCTGTGTGTTTTAGTATGAGCACTTTGTTTTTATTTCTGTGAATTCCTCAGTATGTATATATATATATATATATATATTTCACTCAAAACATTATAATTTAACTTTTATTTTTTTTCATTTCGATTCAGCATGTTGCTTTACCAATATAACATTTTTTAACTTTTAAAGGGTATTCGTTTAAAATCGATCGGAGGTAAGTAATTTGGATCAAATTTTATCTTTTAATTTAACTTACAATTTTCTCAATTAAGACCACTGGAAATTTAGTACCGAAAGGGCAGTTCAAGGGTACTAATCCTTCCTTAACTGTAACCGACTCTCAAACCCGATATATCTTTGGTAAACCCGATCAACCTTAATATTTTTTTTAAATGATCGATGGTAACTCTAACTCATTTATCCATGTAAATGAAGACGTAACCATGAATTTTGTCCATATTACCTTTATGTTTGTGTATGACGTTATGTACTGTGGATTCATTCGAGTGGAAGCTATAATACAAGTGGGTGAGAGTTGTTTATGAACACCATCTTTAAACTTTGCATTCTTCTTTTTCAGTGTTGTGGACCATATATTTGTCTGTATCGAAGACACTGATTTGTTTCCTTTTTGGTTGTTTTTGTTTTACATGCATGGACAAAACCATATTTAAATAAGCAGCTGTTATGTGTTAATGTAAGACAGCATATAAGTGTCTTTAGATTAAATTAAAGCTAAAACCAAATAGAACAACACTGGATATAGCAGTGATGACCATGGTGTTGCATTTCGGGTTGTGTGAAGTTGTGAGAGAGGATATGGGATGGGTCGTTAGAAGGATTATCTGACTGAAACAATCAAATCCCATTGTTGTAAAAGAAACAGTTAAATTGAATAAGCTACGAGAGGGTTCTAAGATCAGTAAGTCTTGGCCGCCATTATAGTTCACAACTGAGGCCTGGACCTAATTCACCCCTGCATGGTTCACAATCGCTAGTTGCTACACGCCTGGCCACCATAATGGGACAGGATTTTAAATAGCGTTCGTAGTTACGTTCTTGGTCGTGTCGCGTTTATTACGGTTACGGATATAAATGATGCTATTGTTGTCATTGCGAATATCGCGATCGTAAATTTTTCTCGGATGAGCTGATTTTTTCCCAAAAAAATCTGTTTTTTTATTAAAAAAAATTAAAATAACGGAATAATAGTAGAATAGAGGTCCGCTATTGTCACGATTAGCCGCGATCCATCACTATTGGTGTGATCTTGCTTCACACCGTTATTTTTCGTGATAATAGTTTCAGATACCATCACGACCGCGTTATAACGACCGTGATACTACTATTCAACCGCTTTCGGCCGCTATACGCCTCGGGAACCTGCAGGTGGTTCAAGGAGGTACCCTGTAAATGGAACAAGTGGGGATACAATCACCAAAATCTTGTCGGTTAAGGTGACGGGTGAGGTTAAAACAGTGGCCATATCCACCACAAGGACAGAGGACACCTTATGGCTCAAGTGGTACGCGGGAAGTTCTACGGTGCGGCAGTCTTAATATACGGTTAAAAAAAATGTTATCGGTTTTGTTATTATTTTTTTTAACAAAACCGGTAAAAAATTATCGAAAATATTATTATTTCTACCGGTTTTATTATTATTATTAATTATTGATATTGGTAAACGCGGTAGAAAAACTCGGTAAAAAAATAATGTTTTAGTTAATGATTTACCGGATATGTTACCAAAACCGGTAAAGCGCCCAATAATAATAAAACTGATAGAAATAATAATATTTTCAATCATATTTTACCGATTTTATTATTTAAATAATAATAAAACTGATAACATCTTTTTTTAACCGTATATTAAGACTTTCGCTCTTGAGCATTTCCTAATGGTATGCCCGATGCTGTTTCGAGGGGAAGTAAGGATAGTGACCAACCTCATACTTCCATAGTTGACGTGGATTTTTTTAAAATAATATTAAGAGTAAGGGTGTCAATGAGAATGGGCTATGGGTCTTTTTAAAGGCAAGGGTGTTGATGAGAATGGGCTGTGGGGAAAGAAGTAGAATGATAAGGGTGTTGATGAGAATTGACTGGGGAAAGGAGGAGGAGGTATTTTTATTTGAAAAACTTAGTTCAAATGTTGATGATGGTAATATTTTTTATAAAACATACTTTATAGTGAGTAAATTTAAGGATTAATCACATTATTAATCACTTATGTGTGTTTTGTCCATTTTTTCTCCTGATTTAAAAAAACATAATTTATGGTCACTTTTATTTTTTATTTAATTAAGTTATGGTCACCTTGAGTTGAGTGATATTAAAATTTTTTCTATAATCATATTTTGTTCTTTGATATTTATATATCCTCTCAATTTAGTCTTACTTTTTACATATTAAAAGATGAAGAAGAAAAAAGGGAGGAAGAAGAAGAGGAAGAAGAAGAGGAAGAAGAATTTTTATTTGAAAATCTTAGTTCGATTGTTGATGTTAATATTTTAAATAAAACACACTTTATAGTAAGTAAATTTAAGGGTAAATTACATGATTGTCCATTTTTCTTCATTGATTTCAAAAAATAAAATATATATGATCACTTTGGTTTTTATTTAATTAAGATGTGATTACTGTGGGTTAAATGACGTTAAATATTTTGCTATAATCATATTTGATCTTTGTTATTTATATATCTTCTCAATTTAATCCTACTTTTAACATATTAGAAGAAGATGAGGAATAATAGGTATTTTCATTTGAAAATCTTAATTCGATTGTTGATGATGTTAATATTTTTGATAAAGCATACTTTATAGTGACTAAATTTAAAGGTCAATTACATGATTCACTTATGTTTGTTTTTTCCATTTTTTTTTACTGATTTCAAAAAACATATTATATGATCACTTTTATTTTTATTTAATTAAGGTTAACTAACATTAAATATTTTGCAATAATCATATATTTGATCTCTATTAATTATATATCCTCTCAAAGGAGGAGGAGAAATTTCGTTAATGAATTAACAAAAGTTAACGGCAGAAAGACTTAAACTGAACGGATCGATAACGTAAGGAATCAAGCTCACTTAATTAAAAACTCGATGACTAAAGTAGATCAAGTCGAAAACAAAGGAGACTATTGGCATAGTTTACCCTAAAATAATTTAAACACATTTATGACAATAAAACACAAATACATAATCATCAATCATGGTGGCTATAATGAACCACAATTATTCAAATCAAAACAGAAATTATAAAATAAAATAGAATGGAGTTCAATTGTAAACCATTCACAATCCATCATCACTAGCACACCATTTCCAAATTCATTTCATCTGTAAGACCTCGGACCATTGTAATAAGGAACACAACCAAAGTTCCAATCTTAAAAGTACACCATCTCACCAATCCAAGTACACAAATTTGATACGACACGTGAGGCATAATCATAAGCTCTAAAAAGACTGCTAAAGCAATGACGTGCTAATCAAGCAATAGGCATCTGGCATCTACCTGTACGAATCCGGACGCTTCGGCTTGCTTTGAACAACCGTCTCGATCTTCTCCATGACAGCAGGAGTTAGTAATGGGATCACATCAAGTGCTTTCATGTTCTCTTGAATCTGGATGGGAAAAAGATATATAGTTCAGCTTGTATAAGATATATAGTTCAGCTTGTATAGAGGAATATTTAGCAGTCGCAGTCATGGAAACCCACTAATATTTGCTGCAATGTATGATGAACATTCAACTAGACAAGAGGCTTCTTTATATTAGAAAGGACGATTCATCAATCACTTAGTTAATTGATCGATTTTCAGGTTAGCAAACACTAATCATTACTTAACTAATAAATTTATTTCCAAACCTTATAAGATACTATGTACCTTTAGATCAGAACAAAATCGTTTCAAATTTACAGAAATTATTAGACCATGTCTTTTATTTTCTGCAAGTTAATAGTGACCTCTTAGTTCCAATGTCATAATGGATTTCTTTCTTGCAGTCTTCGACTTTCCCAAGACACTAGAGTCCAACATTCAACTTGGACATGACCTTAAATATTCAATAAGATTCCTATTGATATCTCTCTTTCTCAAACACAAAAGAAAAACAAAAAATGGTGTCGCCTTCAACATGTCCCCAAATTGCACCGTTGAACTATATATAGTTGGTTCACTTCAAAAAAAAAAAAAAACTATATATAGTTGGCAACACTCACCGAGGAGCTAACAGAATTGCTTCTTAAATAACGGTTCTAAAATAGTAAGCTTACCCAACTGTAACTAGCCTACCATATACAATCAAACCATTAATTAAATGAAGCGAGAATAACAAACATGTGACAAGAAGAAAAGATAAGAAAGAAGAAAATGATTAAACGTTAAATTGGAACTTATTGAAACTATAGAAAATAGTATTTCTATCAATTTACAAGTTCACACGTGGGCAGTGGCGGATCTAGAAATATTTTTCAAGGTGGGCATATATACATTAATAACAAAAAAATTTCACATGGAGTGAGCACAAATAAAATTTCAGAGTGGGCACCTTCGGTACAATGAACAACTAACGAAAAAAATTTGTTAATCTGAAAATATTTTTCAGGGTGGACATGACATTGAAAATAAGGGTAATGTCTTAGCCTGGTGACAAAAGAAGATACCAAAATGAGGTTGCTATCCGTGTATTCTGAAGAGCTGGGCATAAATGCAAAAGATCTATGGACTTTAATGAATGTCACCAGATGAAATGTAAGTTGCAATTTTGTTGCTAGGAAAATGGAGTTATTTTCAAGTCCGGCTATGTGCCCAACACAGAAATGTTCAATGTTTTTCTATGTTTTTCCATGCATTTGGAGGGTCCTCCAAGGATCATATCCCGGCACCCATACCAGAAAAATGTGTCAAGCATGAGTGTAGGACATGGATACTTCAATAAAAATGAAGTGTTGGGCAGCATAGGTTGCTAACATGTCACCTATTGTCAAGTATGCAAAGATCTATAATCCCAGATTAATCTGTAACTCTTTCATTACATTACCCGTATTTTCAACGTCATCATCTGGTGTGTTCATATATCAAACATATATTGACACTTCATGTAAATGCATATGTACCAAACAACCAAATTTTATAATATTGTACTACTAACAAATGAGTGTACAACTGCTTCCTTGAAGAATCACAGGGAAAGTAAATTCATCGGATCCATAGTGGTCCAGCGAAATATGAAATAAAGTGATGAGAGATACATAAAATACTAACCTGAGATTCCTTTGTAGCACCAGTAATAACCGATGATACATTAGGATTTGCAGCACACCATGCAATTGCGAGTTGAGCTAAAGGCACACCAAGTTCATCAGCAATTGGCTTCAGTCCATTGACTTTCTTCAAGACATCATCAACTAGTGATCGGTTAGCAAGATTCTACACAAGAAATCACATAGATTAGTCACTTACTCGTGACCGAAACGGAAGGAGGTTAAAATTAGTAGTGCAGAAAGAACAAAGAAAGCTACATTATCAAATATAATACAAAAATACTTGCAGCTAAGTTAAGCTGGGTAAGTTTCAGTCATCTCAAAAGATTGTAACTGACAAATTTTAGCACTAAATATGATAAGTTAAGTCTGCTTGGAGAATTATGCACATGCAACTACCACTATACATTTGAGTTTTGATCTTTGTGTTCTGTTTTTGGATACCAACACCAGAAATTATATTTATTACAACCATGGATACATCAACAAGATGTTAGATTCCTAAGAACCAAAAGGCACACTGAATCATAGCCTAAAATGAATCTTGTTAAAAGTAATTTCTACAAACAAGGAGAAAGGAACCTAAATGGCTATAGATGGTTATGTTCAACACTCAACATTGAGGCAAAAAGATCAATAAAAGTGCAAAATCAAGAGTAAGAAATCAAATATTTAGTGAATTCTTACTTTGAAATTTTCTAAAGCAAACCGACTGTCAGGAGGTACTGTTCCTTTGCTGTATTTTCCAGTAAGCACTCCTGATGAAAGAGGACTCCAGGTGGTAAGACCTAGGCCATAGTTGGTGTACAGAGGAAGGTACTCGGATTCAACCTGCAGGCACACAGAGAAGGGTGAGAAAAACCTGTTAGTCCCAAAGGAAACATGAAAAAAAAATAATTCCCACTTAAAAACTATAAATTCGGGCAAGTCGAAGTTTTTATGGCACAAACCAAATAATAATGAGAATTCTATTACATCTATCATCTATGATTTCCAAAACAAAGTTCACAAACAATTAAAAGGAAGAAATAGTGGCTATTCGGTATTCAGAGTTCAAACCAACGACTCACCTTGTGCCTAGTCAATAAATTATACTCCGGCTGCTCCACAATCGGGCCCACCAAGTCCAACCTCTCAGCTACTCCCCATGCTTCCGTAATCTGTTGTGCAGACCACTCACTTGTCCCCCAATAAAATGCCCAACCCTTATCGATCACATAATTCATAGCTCTCACTGTCTCCTCAATTGGAGTATAGGTGTCTGGCCTGTAATCAAACATCAAAACGAGAATGTCAAGTTTCTCAAAATACAGTCCTCCAACTTACATTCCAACAACTAATCATAGAAAAAATTACAGAAGAAAACCAGAATTTGTCTGCAAAGGCTCACGAAAGAGCTTAGACAGCTACACATGGTAGAGATTATACACTCACCCACATATGAAACATTGAACTAAGTAAATAAATCTATATCCCAAAGAACCATACATACTAGAGTTCCTCAACAAACAAGCCACATTTTTTTATAAAAAAGGGAAGCCAAATTAATACCCAGAAACACTAAATATAAAACATCCTCAAGAATTTCTATAAAAATAAATCAATGAGATTAAGTCATCTTATTCTATAATGCATAATCCAAAAATCCCCTACAAATAATATTTTTCATGTGACTTCAAATCAAAACTAGAACCCAAGAAAACATCAACAGCATCAAATCAAATATCCAGAAGCAAGAAAAATTGCATACAATGAATAATCAAACGAATAATACCAAAATCAAGAAACAAAAGCCCATATCGATATCAAACCCAGAAAATCAAATTAAAAAAAACGGATCTTGAAATGAACCAACCTATGACAATAGATCACATCAACGTAATCCATATCAAGCCTCTTCAAGGAGGCCTTAGTTCCTTCAGCAATATGTTTCCTAGACAAACCCTTATCATTAGGCCCTGGACCACCCCAGAAGATCTTGGTGGAAACCACCAGATCCGATCGTTTCCACCCAAGTTCCCGAATAGCCTGACCCATGATCTCCTCGGCTCGGCCATTGGCGTAAACCTCGGCGTTATCGAAAAAGTTGACCCCGTTGTCTTTACAGCACTGGAGAAGTGACTTCACTTCTTTAACATCGAGTTGGTTTCCGAAACTCACCCATGCTCCGTATGATAGTTGACTCACCTTCAAACCTGATCTGCCCAGATTTTTGTACTGCATTTTTTATGGTGGAGAAGAGAAGATAGCGGTAGAAGTGAAACAGAGTAGAAGAGTCTGGTACCTGGAGTATCTGAATTTGGACACTTTAAAGTTTGGGTAAACTACAAGGTTGCTCACTATACTTCATTATCTATGCTATTTTACTCACAGTACTTTTAAGTTTTACAATTTACTCTCTAAACTTTATAAATCGAATATTTTTAATCGATCCACCTTTTTTTCTTTAATTCTATGATTATATAGCATCTTTTATTTTTTTTTAATTAATAAATATTTTATTAATATTATTTTTATATATATTATTATCCCCCATTGCCGCACACATGCCGTTTCCCCTCTCCCTTTCCCTTTCCCTTTCTCCTCCTGTCATTTTCTCTCTGCCTTCACCTGGAAAACAATGAGCTATGGCTTTTCACAATAAAAGAAAAGCCACTAGAATTGAGATAAAACCTAGAAAGAAAAAAAGCTCAAAGTTTATCCTTAAAAGAATTTTTTTTTCAAAACAACTCACAAACCCAAATCTTTTCTCAACTAAGTCGATTCAATTTTCAAACTTCAAGCCTTGAAAATCACCTTGATCGTGCTGAGTTTAGGCGTTATTGAATGCACTAGAGAAGCAAGAGCTAAAAAAAGGAACTCTTTTGATTCTGCTGCACTCCAACAATCTGTAAGTTCTTCCATCTCTAATTCTTCTTTCGGTTTTGGAAAAAAGAAAAAGCGATTCCCAATTATCCCATTTAGAATTTTATGGGCTTTCACCACAATGATTATTCAATGGAATCTTAAATTGAAAAATTGGTTGCTACGATTAAGTTGAGTCGATATAACCAAGTAATACGAGGCTTTTAACATATAGAAATTGAATGGATTTCTCAACCTCTATCATTTTGAATTTCTTGAATGGGTTTTATTTCTCTTTGTTTTCTTATTAACAATTATAGCGTTACAAGAGCAAGAACTGAAGCATGAAGAATTACAATACATAAAGGAAGAAGATCCCATTTTCCCCCTTTTTTTTAAACATATATTTTAATTGTTAAAAGTGATTAATTATATCAAGTAATAATAACGTTAAAAATTAAATGGTCGAGTGATAAAAAAATTAACGGTAAAGTATAATAATAGTCATTGAATATTTTTGAAACTTGCATTTAAGTCACTCAGCTTTTAAAACTTGTAATACAGTCCCCAAACATTTAATCCATTTACAATATGGTCCCGCACCTATGAATATTAGGGTAAATTATATAAATGGTCACTAAACTTTTCAGGCACTTAAATTTAGGTCCCCTAACTTTTAAAAATTACAAAACAATTCTCAATTTCATTCTAAACCACAAATTTCAAAATAATTCAATTTCATTCTAAACCCTAAATTCCAAAATAATTCAATTACATTCTAAAATCCAAATTCTAAAATACTTCAATTTTTGTCTTTTTTTATGAACGACGCCAATGTCACTAAATTATTAATTAATTTACTTTTTTATATTTAAAAACATATGATAATTTTTTAATATTAATTTAAAGACATGAAATTTTTTTCAATAGTAAGAATATATGATAATAATTCATTTATTTAAAAATAAATATATTTCTGATTATTTGTGTATATTTTTATATCTAATCATACGTGTTAATATATTTTATATCTTTCACATAAATATTAAGACTATATAAATAGCATATTCAAAATTTTATATACGAGTTATGTTAATTATAGTAATGATGTATAAATATATTTTATTTCTATTATAATTAAAATATAAATATTACCATGATAATTAAATATTTATTTAATTATTACATCGAATATTTTTATAGAAAAATTATTTAATAAAATCATAAAAAAATACAATAAAAAAATAAACATTGAAGTTGACTACTTCAAAAATAAAATAAAAAATTAATAATTTAATATAATATACCCTAAGTTGATGATAACAATCAATTCAAAAGAGATGGGATTTGTGCCATATTTTCGTAACATACGTAAACTTTCTATTTCATGGTCACGTATTCTTTTAGTTCTAGCACGATCTATTTTTTAATTTTCTAATATAGGTAAAAAAAATGTTATTTTCTTTAAAAGTTTTAAATTCAAACAATTGTGTTTGTAGGGTATATCTATATTGTTAATAAATTATTTTTTTGAATAAATACTATCTTATAATCACATCAAACTATTAAAAAAATAAATTATAATTGAAATAAATAAAAATTATAAGGATGTCAAATGGAGATTTTGATTCTTAATTTTTTTCATTAAGAGATTGTATTTTTTTTATTCAATTTCTTCCGTAATCATTTTTTATATTTAAATTATTGAAGATCACTAAATTTACATTTACGAGGAGGGGGTGTATTTTTTTCTTCACAAAAGTAAAAAAATCAAAACGATATCACGTTCTTAAAGATAATCTATTATATTTCTCCTTAAATTGAAGTATTTTAGAATTTGAGGTTTAGAATGTAATTGAATTATTTTAGAATTTAGGGTTTAGAATGAAATTGAATTACTTTGAAATTTGGGATTTATAATGAAATTGAGGAATGTTTTGTAAGTTTTAAAAGTTGGGGGACCTAAATTCAAGTGCCTAAAAAGTTCAATGACCATTTATATGATTTACCCTAATTTTCATAGGTGCGGGGACTATATTGCAAACGGATTAAATGTTTGGGGACTGTATTGCAAGTTTTAAAAGTTAAAGGACCTAAATATAAATTTCAGAAATATTCAGTGACCATTATTATACTTTACCCAAAAATTTAATATCTAATGTTTGATAAAAAGATTAAAAAAATATAATAAATAAAATAAAATGATGATAAAGTATAGTAAAAAAAACGTGTAACTTACCATTAAAGTTTAAAAAAATCACATGATTTTCCATATTTTTAATTGTCTATTCTTTGTATATGCAATAAAAAATTTAAATAAATAATTATTTAATTAAATATGACTCTTTTAAAATTATTTGAAAGAATAATTCTTAGATCATCTATATCAGACGATCTTACAGCCTATAAATCGAGTGTTAAGTTCTCCAATACGTGAGATATATCAGACATGAACGTATTTTTCAGGTAAACCAATGAAACAACTAGATAAAATGATTTTGTGCATTACAAAGCATGAAGTAACCTTTATTATCTAAAATATTATAAAATTTATGGGGATCGTGCGTCCTGCAAAGCGCGATGTTCTTTCCCTTCTTTTAGTGTCCATAGACTTATTCGAATATTATTTTTAGGTGAAAAATTATTTTTTAATTTTTAATTATAAACCCGTAGTGTTGTAATTTATCTTTAAGGTAATTATATTTTCAACATATATAAGACATTTTATGTAGAGTAAAAATGACGTTGAAAATTGTTAGAAATCATGATTATGTGAAAGAAAAAGAAAAAAATAGTTTAATAGACATATTGGAGTGTTATTTTTTGCTTGTAAATATGAGTATAGAGTACAATTTCGGTTGTTCGATTTTTTGTTGATGTTCGATTAAATCTTCGTCACAAAAAATCTAGGTTAACCATAGGCTACCAATTTTTTTCGTCATAGTGCATAATCTGATCGTATTGTAGGATTGGTAAGTGGGCGTAAAATGTTTCATCAATCCACCTATCATTAATACAATAGAATTGTATTATTTGTTAGTAATATTATAAAAAATAGATAAAAATTATTTTTTACCTTTTACGTAACGAAAATTCATATGGGACACGTGTTTTAAGAATCGAACAAAAAAATTGCATTCTTGTCAAGGCCTATGACTGCAATAACAATAAACACCCTCCAATAATATTTTTCGTTTGATCTACGACTCTACAAAGCCGTTGGAGTAAAAATGTCAAAATTGCCGACCCACAACTTATATTTCTTAAATTACTCAAATTTTGCAAATGATTCAACCACATCAGATGCACCTTATTTTGGGATTTGTTTGACATTAAAATCCCCAATAACTAGTATAATATGCGCATGAGCAAATCATTTCAAAAAATTAATAAAATAATATAACTACTTAATTTCTAAAAAAATTAAATAAATAAATTGAAATATTAATAAATATTCATAGATAAAAACATGTATATTTACCTCATACACTTCATGCTCCGCAATCTGGGTTGGGTTCGTAAAACTTTCATCAAAAAAATTAATTTTTATTTTTCCACCATTGTGTGCATCATCGGGCGGATCAATTCCGTGTAATACCTCATATACGTTTCTAGGGGCGTCGGCAACACCAGTAATAGATACTCCATTAATATGAAGTCCCAGATGAAATGCAACATCTTGCAGGGTAATAGTTTTCACCTCACACGGTAAACGAAATGTGTGCGTCTCCGTTCTCTATCTTTCCACCAACGCATTTATAAGTGGAGGATTCAACATCACACCATCACCAGTTATACTATTGATATATCTGAAACTCTCTAAATGTAAATAAATAGTCAACAATATACGCATCGGGCGATGTCACAAGATTTATATGACACTTTAATACACGTTCATATCCCTACGTGTAGAATTATATTTTGATATAACATTTTATGGCAAAATGTTTTTGGACTTGAATTAAATTTATTCAAAGTTTTCAAAGATTTCAAAAATAATTCAAAATTCATTTAAAAGATGAATTGAGCAAAAATTACAAGTAGTACTGATATTGTTCTTTGTAGTATCGATACCACATGAATGGGTATTGATACCCTAGATGTAGTATCGATACCTTAGGAAAAAGTAGTACTGATACCATCAAGGTAGTATCGATACTACCATGAAGGCTCAAAACATCGAATGCAAAATGAGTACTGATACAATGCAAGGGTATCACTACCATAGTGCAAAGTAGTATCGATACCCCTTAGGCAGTATCGATACTACAAGGCTCCAACGGCTAGCAACGACTAGTTGAATTTGAATTTAACAGAGGTAGTACCGATACCTTATGGAGGAGTATTGATACTTCCTATTCTGGATAGACTTATTTTGCAGAAAATGAATCCCCAACGGCTCCAAAACATCCCCAACGGCTATATACGACT